AGCCAGCTCCCGCTCCCCGGCTCCTGTGACTGGAAGGGAAATGCCTTCACCCCTTTCTCTTTCCACCAGCTGCTAGTTGTCCGCATAAACCTGTAACATCTTAGGAAATATGGTTATACTGGGCACTGGAGCTCAATATTATATTCAGTGCAGAGCAACTGGATGTACAAATTCAATAGAAAGTCTTATTTTAGCTGCAAAAATGAAGTGACTTAAAAAGGGGGATCAACCTCTGCGCTGTTCATTTGCCATCGCCTGCTCAGTCTGCTCCCTCCTTGTTTTCTCTCTGCCATCCCTGTATTTTCACAGTCTTGTAAGGGGGGGCGGGGAGGGTCAGTTTATTTACATTGATGTTACCGTCAGCAGAGAGTATCCATCACTTTTCACGATTTTGGGAGCCAGCTCCCGGCTCTGCGTGGAGTACCGTGCTCCAACTTACAGCCGTGAAGCCAGGCCTGCTCGTCACTGCTGCTCATTTTCAGCTTCATTCCTCATTTTAATTAAAATGTCAGAAAACGTAGAGGGCAAGTAAGAAAAGTTGTCACGAGAAAGTGTTGTTTTGAGTATGGAAATACTATAGTTGATGAGAAAAAAAACAAGAAATCTTTCACCTTTATGCAATTTTTTCTGGAACCTTAAAGGCCCACCACATCTTTCAGTCTACGTGTCTGTCAGCAGCAAGATAGCTTTTCTTCTACCACTCCGTGACTTTATGATTTATTGCTTGGTGACAGATAACCATTATTAATAATTTAATTGTCCCAGGATGTTCAAACTACACATTTGAATCTGGGATTTATGTTCATTTCCTCTTAATGTTCATGCTAATGGCAAGTGCATGTGTTCTGACACACAATATTGTCTCCAGGTTGTTAGGGAAATATAAAATTCACAGCCTGGGTGCAATGGAGCTGCGATATATTAGGGGCTTTGTTATTCTGTTCCGTCTCTGAAACTTTTCTTTGGCGAGTAAATGAGCTTGAGATTCACGGGGCTGTCTTGAGAATTGACTCACTAATTTGCTTTAGGCTAACTGATCGCTTTGTGTGAAAGCACGGTACCTCTTCCATTCCACATCTCCAAAAATGAGTCGAATGAGCTGCTGACTCCGGGGGTCAGATCTGAATCATCCCAGGAGGCTGAACTAGATAATATGTTAGTTTAAGAATTTCATCTCATAATAAATTAAATGGTTGTTCCTTGCACATTTCCACCAAAATAATCTTTGTTTTACACACGACAGTAGGATGACTGCGATGGAAACATGTAATGTGTTTCTTCAGCAGTGGTATTCAAGTTTCCATGCGGGCTGTTTGCAGAGCTTATTTCCAGAGTCAGACGCTAACTGCTCCCCCACTGTAAACTGTGGTTTGTCTCTTCTTTAGCTACTTAAGCTTTGCCACACACTGCTCAGGATCCAGAACAACAGAAGGAAGCAATGCTGCATCTTGGCCACCTCAACTCAGACAACCTAATCTTCTGCTGTTCGGTGACCTGGCATGTGCCAGGACCAGTGTGTCTGCAGCCACAGCCATTGCAGCGGGAAGTTATATTGCACCGTTTCTGAAGGAATTAATTTTACCAATTATTGTTCCCTCCCCTGCTTAAACAGAGATGTTCCTCAATGCTCAATATTTTGCTGCTTTGGCTATTGAAGCCAGCCAAAAGTCATCCATTTTCATGAATCTTTTCCTTGAGGGCAATTTTACATTGTAATGTGTGCTTTTCATCCTATTGCCTAGTTATCAGTTCAGTAATACTCATGACTTGCTGGGAAGGATTTCCATGGACAGCATCACCATGGCTTGTGTTTATCCTCTTGACTTGTTTCTGTGCTGCCAGATGCCTTTCAGTTGTTAAGTTCCTCTCTCTTTTCCAGTTGTTGTCATTGGCAAGTTATGTGTTTTATCCTAGTCTGCATGGAGCACGGTACCCTTCAGCTGCTTGATCTTTCTTCTACAATGACTGTAATCAATTCTACTCTGAACGCAAACATTTTCTTTCTGAAAGGTTCATAAACCCACGTAAGGAAGCTTTGACTTTGGCTACCAAATTATATGATACGGCCCAATCCTCTCACCTTTGCAGTTCTCCAGTGGCACAAAACCATCTTCACTAATTCCATGTGTTTTCTTCCACCATTTGGTGACTAGATAGTAGTTGGCCAGTCAGAATCTTTGCTTGTTGTAATTTCGAGTGTGTATTGGAGAAAGGCCAGAAGAATGACATTATACTAATGCTGAACCATGAAACAATAGGTCATAAACCAGCAGTTTTCAGTCAACTCCCCATTGCGGCAGGATCCTGGAGTGCCTTTAAAGCTCCTCCACTCTTCATTAGGTGAGAATCTGCCTAGAAGCTTTAGGGGGGGCAAAATCGTTCATTACAATCTTGCTGGTAAGGTTTTGTCCAGCCATGCTGTGGCACACCCCACTTCTCCGAGGGGCTTGGTGAATGCAGGAGAGCAGCCGAGCACCTGGGATTCAGTGGGTGCCTCTGGCAGCAGAATTTTTCTCCAATGACCGAGCTTTAAACTGCACCTTCTAATACCCAGATTAAATAACTAGGGATTTGTGTACTGCTTCTG